CTAACATGAAACTTTCCATCAGGTCTTTTATCTCCAATTATATTAATTTTTTTCCAGCAGCTAGAATATAATCGTTTCTTCTTACCTCTATTATTCTGCTCAGGCTCAGGCTCAGGCTCAACACTCTCGACAAGATCATGTTCATGATGATCCATATCTTCATCAGCCTCTATTATCGAATTTAGTATATAATCATCATCATCCATATCCTGTAATAATAAAAAAATGAGTTAATCAAATTTCAGATTAAAGTCAAAATTCAGAACATGTGAGTCACTTTAAAAACACACCAAAGAGAACAATTTTCTTCCCTCATTGTACTAACAATGAATAGCTCTCAGTGCCTTTCCATAAGGACATATGCGTTTAAAATCTCTTTCCTTCTCTAATGAGACTTTCTGTCTACCGAAAATTGATCTTAGCAAGAAATTTAATAACAAATCAGAAACAATAACAAGCACATGAATCAAGCATATAAGAAACGAAGTTTGGGTTGTTCATCCAGAAACACAATGAAAAAAGAAGAAGAAAGATATCAAAAGAAATACCGAAATCTGATTTGGTTTTATGTGACGTTGTATCATCCAAGTTACTTGGGAGTTTATAACGAAAGATTGAAACGTGAACATTTCTTATAACGAAAGATTGAAACCCATGATTCGAATCACAAAACCCATCATTCAAAATCCCTAAAATCACAAAACCCCCAAAATTTGAAATCGAAATCCCTAGAACCACAAAATCCCAAAACTTCAAAATCACTAGATTCATATAGAGAATCGGTTTNTGAAACTTACATGAATCTAAAACGCAAGGATGTTGAGCGATGAAGCTTGAATTTTTTTGGAGTTATGAGTTTGAGTTATCGAGAGAGAGAAGAAGAAGAGCTTTCGCGTTCTTTCGATCTCTTTCTGTGAAGAAGAGCAAAAAAATTTCTGTGAAAAAAAAAACAGTTGGGCCGTCCGTTATTATTGCGGGCCAAACCCATATGGGCTGCGGACATATGGTCATTAGACCATTTGGTTTGTTTTAGAATGGGTTTAAAAATGGTTGGACCATATTAGTCCAAAATTAAAACGGACTGGGCCAAGTCCATGGTCTTTTGTCCAATTGACACCTCTAGTCTGGGGCACACCAGCTTTGCAATCCGTTGAGGATACTAACCATTTGGCTCCCCGTAAAACGACGAAGAAGAAGAAGGGTTCAAGAATAGGTGGTAAGAGAACGAATAAACGGAATTGCATTAAGAATTAAACAGGAGTTCATACTAAACATATAAGCACACTCTTCCTACTTTCTGCTGCTGTAACAATGGTTTTTGAAAAGGTTTTGAACATTTCTATAATAAGACAATAATATGAAGTTTGTCACATATCAAACTCTTTGCTATAACTATTTCAGTGTCAAACTCAAACGTCGTTGGCTCAAGATTTAGAAGTTAGAATATAAACTTCAAAAACTAGATATTTACTTAATCACGATTTATAATATGTAATCAAAGAAAAATCATTTTTATTCTGCAAAATTAATACATTACTATATCTACTCGATTCTTCAACTTGTGCAAAAGAAAAAGATATAAGAGGTGGCTTGACAGAGAAACTCAATCGTCCGACGTTTAGAGTTATAATTTTTGTTTTCAAAATTATAATTTTAATTAGCTTAAGAAAAAATTAATTAATATTTTTTTTTTAAAGAAAGACCCACAAACATTGAAAAATGCTTTACACATATTATTTTCTAAAAAGTTTAACAAAAAATTTAACTAAAAAGTTTTATTAAATTAAACGACCGCTTCAGTTGCTTATGCTCTGGACCGGCGCGCTCGTGATGAGCTTCTCATATGTTTTCGGTGTCCTGCTGCTTGAAACACGTTAATTATGTGAATAATAACGACCAAGTGATTAGATATGGGCCTAGTGGGCTTCTCCATATTTAATATGATATAGGCCCATTATAAGCCCTGTTCGGGAGTCAATCGATGCGACAGGTTAAGCGATTAAAAAAATAGCCTTCATCTCTCCTTTATTTTGATCGCTGCGTCTTGTTCAGAAAAGAAAACAGAGTCGCCGGTGACGCTGAAAAAATTAGCGGCAGTTGGAATGGTCCGTAATTATCGTCAGACGTGTCGCTGCGACTAAGTCTCCACATACTTGAGTCACAAGTAAGTCATAATTACAAGCTTTTTCTGCCGTTTGCTGTTGTCGCAGCGTCACACTCCAGAACAGGGCTAATGTTGAATTCAGATTTACGTTTCAGAAGCGGAGCAAATATTTTTGGGTAGCCACGTGGCTTATTAGTGAGAGCTGTTGTGGCAGCTCTTGGAGAGAGCTATTCCACTTTCATATAGTAGATTTTCTTTAGAGATCGATCTATGGGTATTATTGTAATTAGTAACCTCTCTTGCTTTATTTTTTTAAAAAACCAGTGTTCTTTTTTTGTTTTACTCAATAACTCAAATTTCAGATAGGTATGTAACGGCTTGTGCTCTAACTCACCAATCCAACTTGGAGCACTTGACTCAATCGAATGGGTTATACAAATCATAACTCATGAGTCATGGCTCTCTTAGCTAGATGAGTCGCTATTCTATTTGAATGAAGTGGTTAAACTGAATAGCCATTCATTAGAACCTTTGTTTAAGCATTTCAATGTCTTGGACCAAACCTCCCACTGAGACCCATGACTCATGGCTTCTACTGCTGAAACTTTATCTCTCGCATCGATCTCGTGTATGGAGGAGGATGGATCCTACATCCGAGATTCCGCATAGAGCAGCAGCGATGTTAAGAGTATAATTCTGACAAAGCTCCCAACATCCTGATAATTACATCCAGAACCGAAGCAAAACACCAAAGGCAGGCAGTGGCGGATCTAATATTTTATTTCGCTGGGGGCAAACAATACTCA